CAAACCGAACCGGCTAGTCAGACAAGTAACCCGGTGAACCAGCCACTCACCCGATCTGGTCTTTCCAATTAAAACGGATGGAAGTAAACCCAGATTAATCCGCTCAACCCAATGGGTCGGATGGGTTAACGAATTAATTTTTTTTCCAGTTAAAATCTCTTGAATGATGCCATTTTAGAGTTTTAAAAAAAAATCGGATGCCAAATATTGTTGTTTCTTTAGCTTCATGACTCATGTTATTTTGCTACTCAAAGTCTTCATCCGTTGAAGAAAGAAGACGACGAAGAGGAGAGAAGCATAAGAAATAAGAAAAGAAAAAGAAGGATGAAAAGGAAGAAAGAAATAGAGGAAAATACTCACCATTAAAAGTATTGCTGCAACACACTGGAAAAACAAAATCCAACAGCATGAAGAAGTGAGAAAATTGAAGAGAGAAAATGAAACAAAAAAGGAAGGAAGACATGGGAGTCTAGCGAGTCAAAGAAGAATAAGTTCAAAGTTGCTGTTAGTTTTTGAGAAAGAAAAGAGAGTGTTGATTTGAAATTGGAAGGAAAATAGTTGGCAGAGGCAAACATTGAGAAGTGTTAGGGTGCCTGCAAACTTTTCTTTTTCCCACTAATACACGCCCCTTCAGTCTTCACCTTCCTTGGGACCTGTCCTTTTATATTTTTAATTTTAATATTAGTAATTAGTAACAGTGTAACATAGTTAAAGTATTTAAAAGATTATTATTATTTATTAACATCCCTGTCTCTTAATTTCATAACTAACAAATTTTATATTTTCAAGAATACTTTTTTTCTTATCTATTAGTTCTTTAGATTTTTTATTTTTTTATGATTATTATTATTATTATTTTAAGCTATTATTAATTTATTTTTTTTCTTATGATTTTTTATTCAATTCGATTATTTTAATCAATACTGGTCTGGCCCCGATTGAACCACTAACCCTTGAACCATTAGTTCGACTGATTCAATGACCGGTCCGATTTTCATACCTTGACTGCAATTCATCACCTTCTTCTTGCTCCCTCATCAACATTTGAATTAATTAGACAACCCAATAACCCAATTGATGAGATTATCAACTACTGCAATCTATTGTTCAATTCTGTCTAGCCTTGTTTCCATTGCTTTCTGAGTATTTTCTGGCCTCAGGTCTTCGCCATAAACCATCGAAATGAAGGTGAAAAGAGAAAAGAGAAGAAAACAAAAGAAGCCAAGGAATGCTTAGCTCTAGATACCACTAATACAGAATTGTAATTCTGTATGAAAGAGAAAATAGAGAAGAATAAGAGAGATTCAGAGAAATTGAGAGAGAGAAATAGAGAGACAAGCAGATTCATCAAATAATATGCAAATCGTATTGATGACTAAAGCATAGGATTTACAAATGAGATCACAAGTATTTATAAGCTTCTAATATGGCTCTCTCTCTTACAACTACCCTAACAGCTAGTTCCTAATAACTGACCAAGTCACAATTACAATTACATAATACACTTCCTTTTTCAAATATTTAAATGAAATAAATTACTTCAGTAAGCAGTAGAACACAAGTACCTCCCCCCCCATAGCCCTCCATAACCTGAATTACGAAAGCCTGCTTCACACTATTTCATCTTTAGTAAACGATGTAGCATTCTAATTATAGTACTCGAGAAAACCACTTTAATTATAATTCATGACTCATTGAAAGACATTTAAAAGTGAGACAAAGACAACTTGTAGAACATCAACAAAGTAAGCCAAAAAAAAAAAGCCAAAGGTTTTGGGACTTACAGGCTCTGTCTCATTTGGAATTCCAAGCCGAGACTGCTCATTAGCAAGCAGGTGAACCAAGTGTTCTCGCTGATTAGAGACATTATCTTTCTGATAAAAACAATGTCAATCATTAGGTGCAAGAGAAAAGGAGTGATTTGCATTGATACTACCAATGCATCTGGTAGCTTCCTATCGGAACATGATCAAATGAATCAGACTATGACTTTCTTCCATTTATGTAAAAAGATCAATTATAAGAATAAAGATCAGAGAAGAGACAGTGACAACTGTGAAAAACCCGCTCAAGTCTTCACATCCTAATTCAACTGATATCTTCAATAATTTCTCTACTCAAAAATCACCATACATGAGAATTTAAAATATTGATAGTAAAGAAAAGGGGCAGAGAAGTATAATAGGAAATTAAAAAGGGAAGAATGCAATTTGCTGTTTGCACAGACAAATTCAAGCATTAAAAGAAATTAGAAATATAAGACTTACAGGAAAAAAGAATATAGAAACGTCATGAAGAGAAAAGAAAACAAGTAGTTTATCGCAAAAAAGGGGGGGGGAGAAGAAAACAAGATAGCAGTAAACTTTGAATATTAAATATGCAACAGTATATCCAATCTCCCTCCATATCTTAAAAGAGAGACCACGGTAAACTTATAAGAGCTGAACATCAAGATGAAGACATATATACAGAACATCTGAACACAAAATAGACATCTTAATAAATGCAGGCATGCCCCTCCATCTGAATGCACCCCAAAAAAAAAATTGCAAATATCAAAAGATTTGGCCTCATTATTCCCCGCTAAACCCTAAACAATTCAAGGTTTTAAAATTGAGATCCATCCCAATGAAAATATGCATGACAACTCACACATGCTGACCTGAAATCCAAATATACACTGCAAGAAATCAAGCATATCAGCATCTCTAGCAGCAGGAATTGGATGACTCCGAGGCAACTCTGGCAAACCCCTAAAGTACTTCAAAGCTGAAACTGCTGCTTGAACCTAAAAATAAATTTCTTAAAGTAAAAACCAGATAATAATGTATTAAATTTGAAGTCAAGTATCAGTCAATGTAATACAGTTAGATTAATTAGTTAGTTCAATGATGGCCATAACGTTCATATAAGCATTTGGTTATGTAAACCATACTAGGCATGTCTATATATGCCAGAGTGCATAGAGCAATAACACAAGCTTATCTTCCTGATCACTCACTCTCCCTCGCCTCTAACTTTTATACTAAGAAAAATAACTCCCTAACCTCAAGCAAAGACATAATAGAGTTTGTTAAGGATGGAGCATCTAAGGGAATAATGTGTAAGCAATTAAGTCTTCTGTCATTGCAGAATCTGATTCCATTAGAGATTTCAGCTGCAACAAAAAGAAAAATACGTTAAGATAATTAATAACATTACCAAAAACTCAAACTTCACCAAATACCAAACATTATTATTGTTGGTCCAATACACATGCCTACTCTTATCAACCTTGAAAACATGTTAAGCTTACTCCCTGAGACATGGAGTACGGACACTAGTATGAACACATGAAAGGCAACATGATAAATTTCAAATCATATAAAACATCACACAAACATATTACACACCGGCTGAACCACTATAACCATAGTCAAAGAACTGAATCATGAAATTGTTCATTCTCCATCAAGTAGCCTAGTTCAACCTTGAAATGCTAAGAAAAACCAAAAGGAGAAAGAAGGATTAAGAGAAGAAAAAAAAACATAGTTCATAGTTCATATAAAAGAAAATGATAAGCAGAGTCTCCAAAAGCATCGACACTTTTCTAAAGGTGGCATCACTTAAAGCAACTTTTTACACCATTAATTATTATTTTACGTTCTGTATAGGTAGCTCATAAACTGTAACACTTTATACTTACATATCTTTTACACACACAAACACATGCACATAAACATATATACTAAATTAGAGAGACTCTGAAGGTCCTTCCAGAAAGACAAGCAGTGCATCTTCAAATTATCACTGTAAAAGCAAATGGAAGCTAACCTCTTCAGGAATTTCTGGGGACAACTGCTCAATCACCATGCCTAAAACCCTTAAACTAGCAAAAATTCTTTTTCGCTTCACACTGTCTTCCGCTCCAACCTGTATTCAACAGCAAAGATTTTAAATGTCAAAAGGAATACGCACAACATAAAAGATGTGAATCAAGACATGCAAGAGACTTCAGGTGAAAAAGGAGTTAGCAAGTAACTGCATGGGAGGGAGCCACTTCAATCTAGGTGGTCAACGAAGCTGAATATGAGTGCTATAACACAAGCTACAACTCCTATACTTCATGGTCCATGATTATATTTTCCCAATCAAAATGATATTTTGCTTAATGGTCCTTCATGTTATTTTTATTTTATTTTTATTTTTTTTTTTTTGGCTATACTATCAATCAATTGCCCAGCTATCTAACCTATAGCATAAATGCTTGAAAACTCAATTATCGAACTTACTAATTCTTTGGCCCAAAAAAAGTTACTAATTCAACAGCATCACTTTTTTAAGTAAAAAAAAGAGGAGACTTATTGAAGAGAAAAATGGACAATATGAAGAAATATAGACTTAGAGGAAATAGGTCCTCTCCATGCAGAATTGAGAAAATAAATCACGTCCATTGCAGATTGCCCTATAGAACTTCTTACTTTGTGGGGTGCAATGATGTCTAAAGAGGCAGAGGAAGACAGAGAATGCACAAGCTCATCTAAATGGGCAACTTCTACTAATACACAAAACATACTCGCTAAGGTTTCCACTGATGGCACCAGATTCCCGCAATTTCTTCTCTTCCTCCTGTAGCCTGTCTACATTATGCTTCTCCCTATAGCGCTTGTAGAACTCTTGTAATTTTGTAATGTCCTGACTTCTATCTATAGTTCCAACTTCTCTCTTAGCCAACTTTTGCTGAAATATGTTAATAAATGAGCGAGATAATATAAATTATAGCTGCCCAAAAGACATTGGAGTATAACTTTAATAAAGTGAGACAAAACTTGCATAAAGAAAATCAAAGAATATAAAAATAACAACAATGACAATTGAAAAGGTCATACAGAACAGCAGGCTTGCCCTTGGACTTGTTATCACCTCTTCCCATGAACATTACAAATGAGTTTTACAAGTTAAATGAATACAGTAATTTGACAATGCTTAACCAAAACTTGGTGTTTATACGATAACAACAACAAGTTTATCTCATTAAGTGAAGTCTACCACATGAATCGCATAATATCATTGCGTTCTATCAATGAATAACTACTAAGATATATCACTCGCCAAAACTTGTGTATGTATTTTGATAAATTGATAAACACAACAGATCTTTTTCCAAAATATATACTGCAAGGTAAAGAAAAAATTCAAATTTGAACAAGAGAATCTGCAACCAAAGATCCAGTTAACATTCATTAACCAGCAATAATTTTAGGCCCTCTCGAACCTTGAACATCTTTCCCTTTCGCACAAGGCTACAGTTCAAAGTTGTGCTCAATGAAGAAGAATATACATCTTGGAAGTTTCACTTGAGGATCATACAAGCTCAGATGTGAACGAACAATAAACCCTGAAGCTTCTTCTTGACAGTGTTAAATTCCCCCCAATTAAAGATAGCATCAATTTGGAATTTTCACGTGTTTGGTTATTATGGTGGTAAATAATAATTTCATTCCCTTATTTCATCTCCCACCAGGGAAGTTTCTCTTCTCAACAAAATCTGTTTAAAAACATGAAGCTCCTTCAAAAGACAAATCTATAATTTGAAGAATAGTACTCAATGGAATTAACATCCAAGAGCATCTGTATGAAGTACAAAATAGAGCAGAAAATGCAGCTCACTTATTTCTACATTACCAAGTGGCTACTTTCTAGTGTAATCAATTGTCTGGTGTCTTTAGTGATATTGGGGTAAGTCCACGTGATTTAGGGTAGACTCTCCATATATAATTCAAACGTTTTGAATGAATAAAGGGGGTCAATCTTTGTGGCAATGTGCAACTTTTTTGCAATAATTTGGGATATTTGGCCAGACGTAATGCTCATAATTTCATTAGTGTTTATTGTCATTAGATGCCTTCTGGGCAAGGATTCTGTTTGAGGCTTCATACTGGTTATCGGTCCAGGGCCTGCTCAAGAGAGGGTGATGGGAAATTGAAGAAGACTTACTCTAGGCATAAGAGGAAATTCTATGTTATTTGCTACATCTTAGAACTTTCATCTATTTTTTGTTTTCTTTCTTTTCTGATTATCATTTAGGCTATTTTCTTCTAATGTGCTCCCCATAAATAGCCACTAATAAAATGACAGTTTTTTTCCCAAGGCATTTGAACTAAACTATCAGTTTTCTTCCCTGGACTTTCCCTACCTCCTTCCTTCCTCCCTCTTTCTCCTACCTCTTCTCCTTTTTTCCTTGGGACAACAATGCACAAATTCCAAGTTAAACTTAAGACTAATGAAATCAAACAATGCATAACGTACCTTAATAACAGACATCAAACCAGTCTTAAATTGCAAAACACCTCGGCCTTCACTGTTAGGGTCCAGATTTTGAGATAATGAATAAGCATGCTCACATACTGCGGGTAAATAAGGTATGTAAGATAAAGCACTGAGCAAAATGGGAATAAAATTTGAATCACTTGAAAAAACTAGAAGGCCAATGAAAAGAGAAATCAATTTACTAGTAGCAGAAATATTGTGAAGTACAGTTTAACCAAAAAAGGGGGAATATGATGAAGTACAAGCACGGGTTCTATATATGAGATAACATGTATCCACATTTCAAATTCACATCAGTTTTCTTCGTATATTTAAATTATTTATCAATAAAGTCAAGGAAGGAAGTGCCAGATGGAAAGGTATGACAACAAATTAATAAAACAGAAACAAGATAACGAGCACAGTACATTTTATACAAATAAATCCAAAGCCCGAAGTTGACAATCAGTTTAGAAGCTCATTGTTCTACAAAAATCTGAGTTTTGTATCATTTTCAACATCCGGAATTTTAAAATTGTAAATTCACCAAGAACACTTCCCTCAATCTCTCTCTTCTTGTTTTATTGATGCAACTTTCCATGCTCAAATAACCAATCCTTGAATATCACTAAAACAAAATGTTGCAAAAAGCGCGGTAATATAAACCAAGCAGTTAAAACGTACAGATTCTGGAGACATTAGGATCTTCGTCTTGAATTTCATCTGCAACTCTCAATATCTCATCAATATCTCTGTTTTTGGCGAGTGCAGATGGTACGTTTCCAGCAATTCCAGCAACGGGCCGTCCAAATGCATCATCACCAATCCTTTCCCTCCTCAGTGTAGCTCGGACTAATCTCTCCCACAGTGCCTCAACTCGAGACATTTTCTACAGACAGTAAATGAAAAATTAAATTAAAATTAATAAAACGGAATGGAAAATCGCGAACTTAATAATTAAGTTTAAACAACGTAGTAGACCAAAAGTATAAACAACGTAGTTTAACTTCAACCTCAGCATCCAGTATCAAATTAGTAAGACTAGTACCCACCGCGAGTCCAATCGAATTTACCCATTTTCGACATTGTTCAGCAAGTTTAGCGTATAAAAAACTAAAAACATAGAAATGCCAAAGCCAACTACGACTGTACTCAACTGGAAACCAGCAAACGTACATAGAAAAGCAGTTAAGAAAAAAAAACATAGCACGTGGAAGATCAAATGATTCAGACAGGAAAGAACTTGCAAGACTTAAGGAAAAAGGATTTTTTTTCCATCCAAATTTTTCTCGTGAACCAAGCGGAGGCGACAGGAAAAGAAAGGCCGGAAAACGAAAATGGCGAACCTCATAAGCCCTAGGACCGAGTTCAGAAGGAGCTGAATCGGTCTTGGACACCGCAAAAGCGGTCTTTTTTTTTTGAAAAAGCAGATGAATGCAGATGTGAAAATGAGACAGGGAGAGAGCGTGGATTTTCGTGGGGAAAAATAAAGAAGTACTATCTGTGAGTGAAAAAATTGGCAGAAACGTATTGCACCTGAAAAGAGAAGAAAGGTATTCACCGGCTACAACCGGTCGACCACGGCAATTTACGGATGGGCTGGGGCTCAGGCACAGGTCTTTGACGCGGACAAGTAAAGCAAGGAAGGAGAAAATTAACGCCAGATCGGATGAAGAGAATGAAAGGGAGCCACGTGAAAAGCCCACGGTTAGTGTTGGCGCCGGTCTTGAGCTCGGATTTTTCTATTACCACCACCAACCACTAAGCAACGAATTTTCGATCCACGTTGATGTAGGATGTATGTTTGTACTCAACTGAGATTTCGTTTCGACGCATTGATATCTGTCAGATATTAGTCAGTTAAATGATCATGTTATTTTGCAAAAATATCAAAATATTATTTCTAATCTCAAATCTCAGCCCGGGCAATGTGGTTCTTCGTCTGTGATGTTTGACCGGCGTTGTTATATAATATTCTGATTACGTTATTATATATTTTAAAAGTTAATTTTCGTATGAATCAAAACTTAACCTTTTCTACGTTTTACCCTGTATTGACGAGTGTTACGCAACAGTGATTGGTGAATTTTTAAGACGCGAGCCGGTGATTGGAATTTGATAATTTTGCATTTTCCATTGAAGGCACTGCGTGGAAAGAAGAGCCTATGGTCACGAAAATATTATCCGTAACGTACGATCTTTGAACGGAGTCTTTCTCTCCTAGCACGAGGGCGTGCTAGATTGGGTGTGGGAAAATGTCACGGATGATATCTCCGTGACCGTGTAAAGACCAATATAATGAACGATCCGCTGGTTAGCCTCGCACAATATGGATAAGGGCGACATTGGCATTGGGTTCTGTCTCAGTCTTCGGACTGAGTGCACAACTAGTCGGGGGCTAGTGCTGCCTCCCTGATGAGCCCATGGCAGGACGAAATCAGTGTGATCCATATGTGCTAAGGCTTGTCCTGAGGATTATGGGGTCCTCCAGAACGCTGCACGGGCGCTGTGTGCTGCACCAGACTCTCAACCTGTGACACCATGTTGCATTTTGGGAAAGTTTTGCAGAATTTATAATTTTTGCTGCAGATTGACGCGTGGTCTGGACTTAAGGATTAAGAAATCTTTCTTTTTTCCCACCTGAAAGGATTAAGAAATCGAGTAGTGAACTACTAAATACTTTTACAAAGTTTTGCTTTTCTCGATTCTTTTACACTTATACGAGGCGGTGCTACAGTTCAATTCAATAATAATTGGGAGATGATAATAAAGTACTCCCGGAATATATAAATAATAAATAGGTATTATGCAGTATGATAATTATTTTATGGTCTCGAGGGATTTGTCTAACATTTTGGCTTTTAATGAAATGACGTATTCCCCCCCCCCCCCCCAAAAAAAAAAAACCATGTCTTTTCTCTTTATTTCCCTTGTTCACCGAATTCACCTTTGCCCACATTCACAACCCCACTCTTCTTCCATCGGCCTCTCCTTTAGACAGTGATGAGGATGTCGAACGGCAAAGACAATGACTTCCTCCTTCGCATGACCTTGACGAAAGTGGAAGCCCAATTTCAAACAATCACAAGGATGTCAAACAGGGGTCCGTCTTCGGTGCTTGCTCATCCATCAAGTAAAATCTGGGCCATCCAGCCCAGATTTTTTTAATTTTTAATTTAAATTTAAATTTAATTTTTTATAAATAAGGTCATCATCCTGGATGGTATTGATTTAATTTAAGTGATTTAATTTAATATTATAACTTTTTAATGAATACAATATTAAAAAATAAAATATATAATCTTTTAATTATAACTTTTTAAAAATATTTTTTAAAAAAAATTACAAGTTAAAATTTTTAAATCTAGACTGTACAAAATACATCTGGATAGTCAATATATAAAAATATAAAAAATTAATATTAAAATAAACCCTGTAGATTAAATATGGACTAGATTAGTCAAAAAAATATTTATTAGAACTTTTTTATAATTTTTACTCCCTCCGTTCAAAAATGTAAGATATTTTTAACTGAATCTCACCCCTCAATGAAGTAGTTACCTACTTTTAAATTAACCCTATCTTTTCATATTTATTTCTATTAAACACCTTACAATAAATATAAAGTCACTATTAATATGGGCACTTTTGAAAAAAAGATAATGATTATACCTTAAAAGACTAAAAATACCTTACATTTTTAAATATCTAACTCCTCAAAAAATGCCTTATATTTTGAATGGAGGGAGTATAAATTTTTATTTTTAAAAAAATATAAAATAAAAATATTAAATTATTTCTCTAAATTTTGGTTCAGATTGCATCGCCCTAACGAGCACCTAAGATGGTTCTTGTCAAATAGCGATTACTTGACAAGGATGATAGATGATAGTGATCATGCTATCTTAAGACTCTAAAAATGTTTACATATATTTTGTATGACCAATCATTATTTTTTTATTAAATATTAATATTAATTATATATTTTTATTTGAGAATGGAAGTTTTATTTAAGGGAGTATTTGGTTGGAGGGAAGGAATTTTGCCCTCTCTCCTTTTTTGGATTGAAAAATTGGAGGAGATGAGGGGGAAAAATTTTTTCCTCCCCTCCAAATTGGAGAAATTGGGAGGGGAGGGATAAAATTTTTCATATTTTGACCAATATACCTTTCATGATGAATTTAAAAAATGCAAATACACTTCTCCAATATAACAATATTTATAAAATGAAGGTAAGATTATTTATATATAATTATTTTTCTTTCCTTTTCCTCCTAAATCAAATAAAGGTACATCAAAACTCTCCCCACTCCTCTATTAAAACCCCTCCCCTCCCCTCCATTAAAAGTCCTTCCTCTTTCCTCCCCTTCCCTTAAACCAAACACACTCAAAAAAGAAAAAAAATCTAATTATGATCTTAAATATCGGCCATGTCATATGTGTTTGTTTTTCTTTTACCTTTTTGTTTGAAATTGTAATTGTTTTAATTTTTTTATAGGATTTGAAGAATTAAAAATGTTAAATTAGAAAATTTGAATATGATTTTAGTAAATTGAAAAAATAATATAAAAACAGATGAATGATAATATGCCAGGCCTCTTAAATAATTTTTGTCTTAAGTCCCAAAACTTAATCACACAGCCCTGACAGTGATGAATCCTGCTCAAACCTTTGATTCTTCAATTAACCATTGGAAGCAACTGTGTGTTCCTCCAAATGACAACACACCCCAAAATGAAATCCACAAAGCTTGTAATATCCATGGCCGAAGCTTATGAGTCTCCAGATTTCTACAATGGTTGCCTTATATGGTGAGGTATGGGTCCTTAATTTATTTAGCTAGTTATTCAGAAAGGGGTGATTTTGAGTTTCATTTTATCGATCTTCAACTTTGCCTATATTTTATGCTGTCCAAAATGAAAAAAATGATATAGTCGTCAAAATTAGGATGTACAGTTCACCTAATCCAAGGGGATTCGCCTTTAGATAATAATAGAACAAGACTTTGGATAGTTCAAGATCCTACATAATCATCGGTGACATAGTATATTTCCTTGTCTACTGGGTTTCTTAAATTGTGACTTGGCTATTCCAAGGGATTAAATTTCAGGTGATCAACCATCAACAATTTAATATTTTTTAATTTGTGAATTTATTTTTTCATTTCGAATTGAATATTTAATAATTTATGAAGTTATTTTAGCTTTTTATAATTAAATATTTTATAATTTATCATCCAATTATCCTTTTAAAGAAATTAATATTTTTATTTATCAATTTATTTTATATTTTTAAATTTTGCATTTAAAAATGTGTTATCTTAAGTTTAATATTTTTCCTAAAAATATCAAATGAGTCACAGATAAATATAACAAAATTTATGACTATTTTTATTATTATACATCTCAACTGTCTTTTAAATTAATTATGTAAATAAATTTTAATTTATTTAACTAGTTTTTAAAAAATATTCAAACATAAATTACATTAAAGTCACATGCTTTTTTTCATAACTTTAGTTTGCTAACACACATAATATATACAATTTTTTAAAATATTACAATCTAATAATTTATTAGTGACATGAGCTGCAATGGTCAATTTTACGGCAAATAATCGATTTCACTCTACTCAAATTCACATAATTGCATTCTATAAATTACATGTATTTCTTTTTATAATTCTATATGATGATCGATACTTGTAATGGGCGTTTTTTTCATCTGTAAATGTTTGCTATGTTTAGACGCTTACTAGTTATAAGGGTTGGGTTAAGTTAAAAAAACAGCCCATAAAAATGAGTTTTTTTTTTACCTGGATCATATAGCTCGTGAATTATATAGACTAACCCTAATGGGTTGGGAGCACATTCGGTGCTTATCACCCTTGAAATAATCTAGATTGTCCAGATTTAATATACACAATTACACGCTCCAAATATAAATGCATTTTTTAAAAAATAAAAAAAATTATAAAATTTAATAAATCTAGTGATTACCTATTTGTACATTTCATATTTAATCAGGTTGGTCTGAATTTAATATTATTTTTTTATAATTTTTATACATTGACTATATAAATTTACTTTAAATTGTTTTGAATCTGACAATATAATAAATTAAAGGTTTTGAATCTCAACGTTACAGAGTAAATATGTATGACCAATTCATAAAAATTATTAAAAAATTAATATTAAATTTGGACTGATAAATATGAACTGTATATATTGGCAATCAATAGATTTATTCAAAATTCTATAAATTTTTATTTAAAAAATAAAAAAAATAAAAAAGTACTTAAATCTGGACAATTGAGATTAAATCTGGATGATCTTGATTATTTCAGGGGTGACGAGCACCAAGAACTCATGACCCCTAATGAGCATTGAATGTGCTCCCTTGATAGGTTAGGATTTTCTTGTTTAACCCATATTATCGTTAAAAAATTTAATAAAAGGAAAAATTTTATGGCTATAAACTATATTAGATATTATTTATTTAATTGGATCAATTTAT